AAAAAAGTCAAAAATTTTTAAAATTTAACTGTATATAGATAACACTGACATAAAAATTTGGTGAAAATTTCAAGTATTTACAGTGATTAGTTTTTGAATTACAACCATATACTATACTGTAATTATAAATGAGGGGGAGGAAGGCACCAAAAACAAACTTCTGAAGACCGCTAAATATTTCCTTAAACTCAAATTTATAAGTATAATAAATTATATTATGTCAATTTATATTTCAAGTCCCCCCCCCACCAAGATTTTAAAGATTTTAGACTATATTTTTGCCACGGGTAGTGAGACAACAAAAAACAAAAAACACTATTTACTATAAATAATTACCAGACTGCACCAGCATTAATATTGTCCATATACTTCATTGCAATATCCATATTCTTAGTTAGTATTCCAGCAGCTAATCCATATTTAGTGTCATTAGCTCGGTTTATCACTTCATCTAATGTTTTGAATTTAATAATCTGCTGAACCGGTCCAAATATCTGAAAAAATGCAAAGATTACTAACACATTATCCTTTTTATAAGATGTACCTACTTAATATTGTAAAAATTATACTTGGTACATTAGTTGATAAAATAATATCATATATTCTGAAAAATCATTAAAATCAGTAGATTTATAAAATTGTATATTTACTTCTTCTCTGGCAATTTTCATATTGTCAGTTACGTTTGAGAATACAGTAGGGTACACATAATAACCTGTGTCACCAACTTTGGATCCACCAGCTTCTAATTTGGCACCTTCTTTTTTACCAGATTCAATATAACTCAAAACTTTGTTGTATTGTTCTTCACTTACCTGAGAATGTGATTAAGTAAAAYAATATTTGGTATAATTTTATAATATAATTTATTAAATTAGGTAATTGAAGGTTGACAAACAGTATGTATAGTAAACATACCTACATCAAATGTTTTATATTTAGTTGTTAATTTGTTAATATTTTAAAACCTTACTAAAGGCCATATTTGTGTATCAACATCAAATTGGTCGCCAACTTTCTTATTAGATGCTAATTTTGCGGCTTTCTTAACAAATTCATCATAAATGTTTTCTTGAACAAATGTTCTAGAAGCAGCACAACAATTTTGACCCATGTTGACAAATATTGAATCATGAGCAATCTTAACAGCCTCGTCAACTGTGTATATAAATAATATAGAATACCGTATGTGTGTAGTTTAGTTAAAAATAAAAAATTCACAAAAAAATTTTCAAAATATTTACCATCAAAATCATCGAATATTACAAGAGGACTTTTACCACCTAATTCTAATGATACACGTTTTAAATTAGACTTGGCAGCTTCTTCCATAATTAATTTTCCAACCTTATTTTTAACAAAAATATATTAAATTTAAATTATGAAAACAGTTATTTAACAATGAATGTTTACTTCTGTTGATCCAGTAAAGGTCACTTTATTTACATCCGGATGGCTAGCTATAGCTTTACCTGCAGTTGGACCATACCCAGGTACAACGTTAATGACTCCATCAGGAAATCCCACCTAAAAGATTAAAATGTTGCACATTATCTATGCTAAATATTATGATATTGTATTTATTTATGTATATATTTAAAATGTTACCTCTTTAGATAATGCAGCCAGATACAGAGCAGTAAGAGGAGTTTGTTCAGCTGGCTTTAATACAACAGTACATCCAGTAGCAAGTGCTGGTCCCAATTTTATTGTGGCTATAGCAATTGGATAGTTCCAAGGTATAATTGATCCAACTACTCCGACAGGTTGACATTTGGTGAAAGTAAAATATGGCCCATCTATAAAGGTAATATTTTATCAAATAATAACAAATATAAGTACAAGTGAACATTTTTAATCTTTAGAAATCTGAAATCACAATATAGCATAGAATAACATCAGATAGTTTCCATGTAGACTTTATGTTTGTGTTTTGRACTCTATATTCATATACATATATTAAAGTGTTCAACTACTTTTTTTAAAAGTCCTCTTAAAGAATAAAATATACATGGTGATTCTTATAACATTGGACACTCATTATTCAAAAAGTATTTATGTTTTTGAAAATAWTTATTGTTTTAATTCCATCTTAAAAAGCAGAATATTTCAACAAATAAGAATTMAATTTAGGATGAGTGTTACTTAAAAGTAATACTCTATGTATTATTTGAGTTATAACTTTATAAGTATTTATAGTTTAAACAACCCAATTGACAAAACTCTTGTATACAAACAATTCATTTGTCCTGCATTGACATACGGTATTCAAATCTGGGGCTCAACCAAAAACTCAGACCTAAATCTTCTCCAATCCTTTCAGTCGATTAGTCTCCGTCTTTTGACAAATGCATCTTGGTATGTTAGTAATCATACAATCCATAAAGACCTGGTCATTCCAACTCTTCACACTCTCGTTTCAACACAATATAAAAAATTTCATTCTAAAACAAATAATCATCCAAACCCGTACATTTCAAACCTCTCCTCTAAGACTCTCCCGGATAACCCTCCCCATCAACTAAAWMGAAATTGGCCTCGTGATTTACTTCACTGAATAAAAAAAAATAAAAAGCCAGTTGGGTGTAGTGTCAATGGACYMTTCACTCAAGCCATAGAACCTTGTAAAAAAATATCTCAAATTAACTTATTGTTTTATTATRTTACAGATTGTAAATACATTTATTTATAAAAAAAAAAACAACCCAAATGTTGCAGAGTAACCRTATATCACTTCACTTTGTTTATCAAGACTTTAAATAGGTACTTATTAAGTTATAACTTATAAATTATAAAATAATAACGTTTTTTAATATTAACTATATAATAATTTAAACAAAAATATATTGTATTTTAGATTGTATAAAGTTCTGTATATATTCATGCACCTATTAAAATCATATGATAGGCATAAGGCATATCAATAAAATCAATAATAGCCCTGAATAAAACTTTATATTCTAAAAGCCCATATGAACTATGTGTAAGGTTGAATACAATATTTCATATTAAGTATAATAAACCCAACAAGGTTATACTGAAACTTTTGCATTGTTAAACAGAACATGAGGATTTAAAATTCTACGAAGTAATCGCGATACAATATTAATAAGGATTTACTGTATTAGAAAAGATTCGTCCATAAATTCAAAGTTTGTAAGTCATCCCTCCAATTATTACCCCTAAAAATAAAATATTCTTGCTTCACTTATTTATATAAATAACTATCTACCTGATGGTATAGTTTTCCCATGAATTTTATCAGCAAATCCAGCATAGTATTGAAGAGTTGAAACAGCCAACTGTACGTCTAATAAAGAACTATTATAAGGTTTTCCATTGTCTAATGATTCTAAATTTGCCAAATTAATTTTGTTTTTTTCAATCAATTCTGCAAACTTATAGATCAATTTGCCTCGCGCAGATGCGTCCATTGTACGCCATTCAGAATTTGGTTGAAATGCAGCCTTTGCTGCATTAACAGCCAAATTAACATCTTCCTATAGTAAAACATGGTAATTTAAATATTGTTTTTAACTTTCATTTAATTAATATACATTTTATTATATTAATATACATATCCATAAGTGTACCTAAATATAAAGTTGTAATTAATTTATACAGAATCAAAAATTTTTTTGTATTTATTATATTTTTAATAGATATTCACAGAAGACTGGTAAAG